ATCGTGCTAAACTACAGATATTTTTAATCAGGCCGGGACCTTTTCCTCACACCCATGTTCATTCTATAAAAAAAAAAAAGAAAAAGACGGTACTAGTTATTTCAACATTCAAATGAAATTCGTGCATAGCTCACTCTAATTAGTGCCTAAGCTTACTGATTTCCATTCTATTGTCTATCTGCTCTGGTTAATGTCAAAATCATTTTCTTTATACTAGACTTTGCAAACATTGGTCGTGATTATACGATCGAGAAACATTGGTAGGTAGGGTTTATAGTAAAGTTAAATAATGACTATTTTTTCTCTGTAAGCATACATTCAGAAGGTGATCCCATTTGTTGTGGATACAGTTCTTACCAATGCTGGAATTGCAGTCGATTGATTTCGCGCACCAAGAAAATTCGTATCATTCAATTCTGTATATTCCATGATGTTTTGTTGCATTGAATTGGAAAACTTCAGCGATTTTAAGATGGCTGACCGATCTATGATGCATGCATCAAATGTGTTAAGATAGAACGTCTGTCTAAATGTCTGTTTAGCTTTTGAGAAACATTTGTTAAAGCTAGGTTGAGGCTTTGGAGTGATACTCGGGTTTCACAACCGGCGGAATATCGATTCAAGTTTATTAGAGCAAACAATCACCAGCAAAACGCTAGAAAATAGACAATTATCCTGAACATATCCATGATCATAATTGCTAAAAAAAAAACAGTTAAGATTACAGTCATTTCTGTTGTCTGCCTGGAGTTTCTTACGGAAAACCTGAACAAGTATGATGCTGCTTTCAATACCTAAAGCTTAATTATTTACGGCTTCATGCAATAGAAGCCGACTAAAATGTCATTGTTGTGTCTGAATGTACAGATTGAGAGCTATTTTAAATTAATCTGTACGCAAAAGGAAAAAAAAGGAATGGATTAGAACTATTGTTATACGCCCAAATTTAAACTGGGGTATTTCGTGTATCATTGAGAATCTGCTTGCACAATTATTACTTTTACCTGCAACAATTATTGTTTTTTAGTATGTGATATAAACTATTGTAACTGTAAGACAGGCCTGGGATAACTTATTTCATCTTACATATATAACCAAACCATTGTTTATATTCTCTATTGATATTACCTATGTGGAACAGGGTATGTTGCTTATATAAACATTCTAGAATGATACAATGTCTATTAAATTTTAAATTCTAATTTTTTTTAATCTTCGACACTTGCCGTTATGAATTTATACGAATTATATTTATTGACATTTTGGCAAATAGTGTGTTTAAAATAATTTCTTTTGGTGAAAAATATTATTTCCTGTACCGAATAGTTAAACTATTCCTGTGAATGAAACAAGATATTTCTTTGAAGTTTCATTTCAGCAGAAATTATTTTGCAGAATACACAACTTGTCTTCAATTTGGAATCTCAGTTATATAACATCGACTTAACAATAATGTTTTAAGAGTGGGCATGAGCTTCACTTTACTTGCTACTTATCATCGCTGGTTACCGACAATGTTATTTAAAAATGGAATAGCGTAGCTGTCTGTTATTGTCTCTTTAGCTAAGTAGACGCACAAGATAATGGGAGTTAGGCTTGTAAATTAATTACTGCTTCCTGTCCTATCGAATTTAGGATAAGAGATTTCTTCAAAATCCTCCAGTAATTATGAGACTAGCGCGTATTCTCCAAGCTCCATAATGATGCACTGTGGGTATCTGATAAGTCATATATTTACTTGTTTTTGTCATAATACATGTTTATGGCTGGAATTTGTTCTCTACCTCGTTTTTTGTTTCTGTTTTTCTCTTTAATTCTACGCTGATTTCACACTTACTTTCATTTTCTATTCATTGTTCTGTAATGCTGTTCTATACTCTGATTCACACTTTATCTTATAGAATATTCACTGTTCTTCTTGACACATTTCAGAATATGAGAACGAGTCAGAATTAATACGTTGCGTATTTCCTCTTTTGAAACCAACACGAAAATCCTGAAATTCAAAGGTGCATTTCCTGTGATATGTTGGGCTCTACGACAACAGTTAGAACACCTAATCTCGCCACTCAATATTCATCATCACATATTACTTCATTATTATAGCCCTGATGATGTATTCTTCTGTTATGCTAGATACGTGTGTTGCTGAAGTGATTACGCTGTGTAATACGACATTTGTCCTTGGGTAGCAATGGTTAGTTCCCGTTTGCTCATACATAGAAAATATGAAAGATGGATAATATTTCCTTGAAACATTGCTTTTGTAACCAGGAAAATGATATTCCTGAAATTTACCTATTCCCAATTGGGATAACTAGCAAAGATTCTCGTTCACAGAAAGTAGGAACTAAACGATATATGATTCAAATGTAGCATATGTTCATTCTAGGATTACACAACAGAGACTATAATATAAAAGTATGTACGTTTTCGCGGTTTACGCTTATACTGTAAATTACTTTCACGAATCAGCCCTCAAATATCGTCTCCTGTCATGTTTTCGTTATATGATCCTTTGTAGTCAAAATGTTGTAGAAATTCTTGACACTTTTATAAACTTCTAACAAGTTCTTGAAACTTCTAGAAAATTCTGCTTCGGCAACTCAGTGCAGACTCTGCCTGAAATATATTGGAAAATAGGTTAGTTCGAAAACATCGTTGTCCAGGACACAAAAGAAGGACTTGTTTTGTGGTCAGTTGATACCCTCAAATTCGAGAGATTGCGAATTTCATGGTTCTACTTTCACCTCTGCACCATTCTGAAAAAGACCAAAATAAATATATAAGTAGAGAAATAGAAATATATATCACCCAGATTTATTGAAATATTCAAAAAACTTTATAATTGTTATTTTTGACTTTTCCCAATATTCGTTAGATGGATATGTAAAATTCTAACTTTGGATCATATTTAATGTAGAAAATTCCACGACGATAAGGAATCTTGAATACTGAATATCGCTAATATTCAGTATTTTTATAAATCTTTCTCGTGATTCAGTATAGAAAAAATCTGTGACATTGTGAATATTAATGCGTGATAGTTGAAACATATTTAATACATTTTTTTTCAATAGGATTTATTTGGAAAAAAAAAGGAAAAACTATTTTAATTAAAAGATTCCAAGCTTTAACAATTAAACATTTCACTATTCAAACAAGCAAATCTTACCGTATTAACTTCTTGGGTTATTTTGAAGAGTTCAAATGTGACATGAGTTGCCCATGGTTGATGTTAAATATCGACAGGCGTACAGAAAAATGCTCTGTAGGCCCCACACATTTTAGCAGATGATGTCATATATTACTTTTTGGCTCACAGACATAGCAAAATACGTCTACTGGATGCTTATAACCTCTTGATGCCAACTGTAATGAATGCATCGATCAATGCCGAATTGTCTCGCTTAACTAGAATTAAACTAAACTTTTGAGCTTCCAGTACCTGGTATTCTTTAGGGGTACCTATTTTGGTACTGACCAGGCTTGACGTTGCTTAACTTCAGTGATCGTACGAGGACTGGTCTTTCAACGTGACATGACCATAATCCTTGATCACCAGACAGTAGCACGATAAAATAAAACTGTATCACAGCGAGCAATGTTAGGGATACGTATATGAAATGTTTCATTTAATTTCATCTTTACTTGTTACAATGTTCATAAACTGTAATTAAATCACCGTTCCAGTGCATTTCAGGTAAACAAATCTACATGTGATTTTGATATTATAACAAGCATCTTCATTCCCGATATCTTATTCACATTGTCTTTATTTGAGTCACCATCGTGTAAGATCTTTGCTTCACTTAGATGATGCCGATTTATATATCTTGACCCCAGGCAAATATGAATAAGAGTCGATTGCATTAAAGTAGCAGTTTGATTAGTTTTTTTTTAATTAAAATATCCAGCATATAAATAAATAAATATATCGCTGTGTAATTTGAGAGTCTCCCATACAGACATGATTCGTATGTAGTTTCGTCCCATATCTGCAATGATTTCTCTTCTCAATGTATGATCTTTTGAGTCGGAAGAAAGGTTGGTCCTTTTGTAAGTAAACTTCAAGCGCAATATTTTAAATATTTTTACATAGATTTTTCCAGCTACATAAATGCCATTATGTTCCATTGCATTTCACCATTTCTGAGGCAATTTCCTGATTCTATCCTCCCAGAACTTCACATATTTCTGGGTGACGAACTGGTGTAAGGGGATTTTAAAAGCTTCTACTTAACTGAATTTCATAGGATTAACATCATTTTGTAGAGATAAAAATTAGTGGTAAATATAAACCTGATTGCTTTTCTTGAAAACGACATTCAATCAGTGATTAACTGGGGCATGAAATGACTTGTAAATTTTAACACCTGCAAACACTCATCTCAATTAACCCCATAATATAAGTTTTTCCGCTTGCAATTAGTATGGTTGACGCTAAACACCTAGAGAGCAACGCACTGCGCCTTCTTGACCTCACGTTTTCCATTGACTTGAAGTGGAACGACTACATCGAAAATAGATGGTCAGAATCATGCTTGCATATTTACAAATCTACCATTTACCCGTACATTGAATACTGCTGTCATAAATGATCTGGTTCTCTGGGGGGTTAACAAAAATCCAAAAGAAGGATGTGTAATGTAATCGATCCTGAATTGGCATCTCGAATTCAGTCACATTTTCACCGACGTGGTGTGGCTCCCCTGTGTCCTTTTCTACAAATATGTTCATGTCAACTGCTCTGACGAGCTATTTTTACTAGTACTTCGATAACATGAATTGAAACGCGCTGCTAGATTGGAACTTAGGTCCCGCAAGTTTATTGTTGAAACAATTAAATTCAACCGACATTTCTACTGCAGCAGTTTCTTCAGTCGATTTGCTGCACATGCATTTTCAATTTATTATCAAAAGGCCGCTAATAAAATTTGTTTTCTGCGACACACAAAATCCTTTATTGTCTCCAATAGTGAAAAAGTCTGCAGAAGAAAATGGAAGGAACTCGACTACACCTTTTCATCCCAGCTAGTGTCCTTGAAAATTCTATTTCAGATAAGCATGCTCGTCTTCTTAGTAGTGTGGCGGTATGATGTCTTGTTGAAAGAAAAAATCCTCCTTTTTCATAACGTTCATATATGGCAGTGTTATCCCTATTTGATAAAACTACGAAAGACAATTTTTCCATATATTCTGAAGTGTGTAAACGTGTTTTTGGCGGACTCTGTAAAATTTAAATTTCAATCACGTGCAAAACGAAATATCTTGTTCAAAAATCATCTACGAAGTTTTATTACAAACTAATAATATGGCAGTTTGCATTTATCCGCGGGAAATAAGGTCCAGTAATCACTCTAATGATTAAGACAATAGAATAAATCTATCGAATGTTTTGCCTCATACATATATACCTATGTTGAAAGTTAGCTTATATGACAATAATTGATCACCAACAATGCTTAAAAACAAAATGTAACAGTTATAACAATATACAATATTAAGATATACTTGCCACATGCACATTTCATAATGGAGATAACTAAATGAAGCAAGCACAACAATTTAAATATCTGGCAAATGTTTTCATAGGGAATGAAAAGTGCAACTGAAATTCGAAAGCGAATATAAATAGATGAGTGATGCATTCAAAAAACCTATGCAAAATATTAAGAATAAGACATATTTCGTTAGAAACGAACAAATAGTATGGCAGTGAATGCTAGACAATGTTATGTGTGATCTAGATGAAACAAAAGCAACAAAAAACTGCTTCTAAAGAATGATGCTGAAAATGCCAATAGAAAGGAGTAAGACAGTTAAATTCAGGAAGAGTCATTTGAAGTTTCTAGGGAACAAAATGTGGAAAGAGGTTTTGGAAAATTTGATTTAAAGTAAGAGGGAGGGGAAAACAAAAAATGGCCTACCTAGTGAGCTTGGGAAAATGGATGTCGGTGCAAGATTAAGAAGAGATAACAAAAAGACAACATTTATTAAGAGCTACAAAGAACAGGAAATTGTGGAGAGCTATGATCGCCTAAGATCGGGAGACTGCTCATAGAATAAGAAAGCTGAAACAACAGAGATTCGTTCCGAACATAGATCTTAGATTTCTCCGTATACTGTCTTTTCATAAATATATAGGCTATATAGACACATTTACTATTCTTTCTTTCTATCTATCTATCTATCTATCTATCTATCTATCTATCTTTTCCTTTTCAATACCTATCTATCTATCTATCTATCTATCTATTAGGTTGGTGCAAAAATAATGACGTAATAATGTCGTTTTTGACCTATTTCCTTTTAAAAATACATCAAAAATCGACATTATTATCGTCATTATTTTTTTTATTCATTCATCTATCTCTATCTATCGATCTATCTATCCTTTTTATCTATCTATCTATCTATCTATCTATCTATCTATTCCTTTTAAATATCTCTATCTCTCTATCTATCGATCTATCTTTCCTTTTCACTATCTATCTATCTATCTATCTATCTATCTATCTATCTATCTATTCCTTTTAAATATCTCTATCTCTCTATCTATCGATCTATCTTTCCTTTTCACTATCTATCTATCTATCTATCTATTCCTTTTAAATATCTCTATCTCTCTATCTATCGATCTATCTTTCCTTTTCACTATCTATCTATCTATCTATCTATCTATCTATCTATTCCTTTTAAATATCTCTATCTCTCTATCTATCGATCTATCTTTCCTTTTCACTATCTATCTATCTATCTATCTATCTATCTATCTATTCCTTTTAAATATCTCTATCTCTCTATCTATCGATCTATCTTTCCTTTTCACTATCTATCTATCTATCTATCTATCTATCTATCTTTTAAATATATCTTTCCTTTTCACTATCTAATATCTATCTATCTATCTATATATCTATCTCTATCTCTCTCTATCTTTTCTATCTATCTTTCCTTTTCACTATCTATCTATCTATCTATCTATCTATCTATCTATCTATCTATCTATCTATCTCTCTATCTATGCATATATATATCTACCTGTCCAGTTAACTAGCTAGCTATGTCTATAAATGTATGTGTGACATTGTGCTTATATCCTAGTTTGTTCCATTAAGTTTGTTGTCTATTTTGGAGCTGATTTTGTATCTCTAAGTTTCACTTAATCGATTTATTGAATGTTCGCGACAGAACTAAGTGCATTGACAAAAAAAACATGCTAAATTTCCTAGAAAATACTTGTGTAAAAATTTATCTCCATCAGTCTAAAATCATTTTGATTGGAATATTATATATTGAACCCACTGTTCTATAGTGTGTCTCAGTTTCTCCATTAATCTGTTCAATTTATCGCCCTTATATTCTTCCTTGTATCTATAGTTTCTTTTTATTATCAGCCTGTACAAAAATACCATAATGATGTAACTGACCTGCCTGCAAACGAAAGGCAATTAACAAAGAAACATGCTACTTTTTACTAGCGTTAATTCAAATAAAGTCTAATAAAAGCAACACATAAAGGATAAACTATATAAAAACGTACAGCGTAAATGATTGAACTTTCGCAATAAGCGAAAGATGGTAAGCCAACAGGCAGTGTCATCTGATATCTCTGATGGCCTCGTTCGCGCCAACTCGATCCTCCAGGGGAGGTAATGCATATTCATTTGTCATCTTGTTACACACTTGTGATTGATTTGGCTTGCAGGGATATTCTCTCATTATCGTAACTTGGCAAGCTGCAAGCTGGAATATCTATTTGTAATTTAAAGGGAGTTAACCCAGATGTCTTCTGCGAAGAGAGACCTTGGTCTACGGCTTGCGGGCGAAGTGTAATAAGTTTTGATGACCTTTCTTGTTCAACATCTTCCGATTCATTTCATCTTGATGAAGTTTGATCTTTATTCTCCTTTTGACACTTGACAGCTATGTCCCTTCGGAAGACGCGGCCCGCGAAATGTGATTTGTTGTCTGCTAGCCTCTTGTTTACACAAAAGCTTGATATACACAAAGAAGAATTTTCCTATTAATCAACACAATGCGAATAAGTTATTGTGCGCACATGGCAAAAGTTTCCTATGAAATAAATGCATTTGAATATAATTCTCACGTCAAAATAACGCAACTTAACATAGGTATGGCAGTACATTATTACTACACCCACACAAAGGCATCTACACCCAATATATATATATATATATATATATATATATATATATATGTTTTAGGGGGTGTTATATTTATGGGTTAAAGTGCACACTATCAAGGATAGAGTGTATGTAAATATAAACATAAATGTGGATATTGTGGTCAACACCCAGCCGTGACAATCTGTTTTATTCTTAAGAACCCACGCACCCTTGCACACCCATACCCACACACCCATATATATATATATATATATATATATATATATATATATATATATTGGATGGATATGAGTGTGATCCTGGATTTCACGCTTGTCAGATGATCGCAAAATCGTGTAAAACCAAGGTCAAACACAAAACACACACACACATATACATATACATACATATATATATATATATATATATATATATATATATATATATATATATATATATATATGACTAACAGCATTGGCCGGTGTTGCCCGTGCTTGATTCAAAAATCGTACGACTTATACACCAATCGCTATCACTTGATTAAAATATTTTTGCCCTTCCTTGCCTTTAAAGGAGTGCCCTTTGCCGTTGCTACATGCCTTATTTCTTGCCTATCTCACACTGCGAATTTTTTCTAAGCTTTATACTAAACATTAAATCTGTTACGAAAAAGAACTAAACAAAATGAACACACAACGATCAGCTTTAAAAAAGACTCGTAACTGGAAAAACCGAATGAAAAAAAAAGTTAACAACAAATACTTTTTCACACCCAATCCAGTTCTGCAGAATCAGAATCAACGTTGAGTTTAAGCAAGCGAATGAGCCAATTGGAGAAAAGTGCCATGCAGATTTAATTTTTTCCCACTTGTGACGAATGCAGCTATCGATTATTTTTGCATGCTAGCATGCTAGTTAACATTCGTGTCGGTTAGCTGTTGGCTCTCACGCTGGCCAATAGAATCTTCCTGCCTATTCGTGGCAGCCAGCTATAGGCTCTCACGCTGGCCAGTAGAAAATGGCCGCAAACGACATGAAAATTACCGTAGAAGCATGAAAAATCGATTATCGATGGGAGTTGGGAAATGCAAAGTCGGTCTTGGCCTTCCCACTAACTTGGAGCATGTGCATGTAAATTTTGATGCAAATCCGTCGAAAATTGCGGCCGTGCATTCGTTACACACACACATATCCTGCCTTTTATAGATAGAGATTTATCACAAACAACACATGTTTGTGAAAATGCCTGGAAATGTCGAAACTAATTGGACAAAACAATAAACATGAACTCCGGCAATTTATTTACAATTTAGATCACAATATATAACACAGTTTTATGAAATTGCTAAAATACAATAAAATTATATGAAATTCATTGTTTCCTGTAGTAATGTTTTAACTATTGAAAAAACAATCATATTAAACAGAGCATATAATATATCTTGTAAAAAATGTGTTTCTTAAAAGTAAAAACTACCTCAAAAAATTAACCAATCACATTTTTATCTATCTTGAGTTTCGCTGAAATTATATCCACTCCACAGGGGATCTGACTGTAAGATTTTTCCACAAAGAATCATCTCGTTATATCCTTCTTTTTCTTCCTTCTCCTCCTCCTCTTCTTTTTCTTCTTTTTCTTTCTGCTCCTCCTCCTCTTCTTCTTCTTCTTCTTCTTCTTCTTCTTCTTCTTCTTCTTCTTCTTCTTCTTCTTCTTATTCCACTTTTCTTCTTCTTCTTTAAGAGACATATCCTTTTATTACGAGTCTTTCTATTTTTATGTATTCACTAAATTCGTTATCCCCATACTGACCATATATTTCTCAGTGAAATTAATGCATTACCCGAATATCTTTTCCGTGCAAATCATG